CAAAAAACACTGTATTTTGTAGAGAGATAAAAAAACCAATAACTTTGTATGATTGTTTCAAATGCCTTGGCGTGTAACAAGTGCCAGATCTTCGAGTTATTTGGCGGACTACATATTACAAATTTGACTGTCGTGATGTAAGCAATTCGAATCTCATTTGTTGAAATCTTTTTCCTTGCCATATGGTTCTCATACTCTTCCACTTTGCATTACCATGACACAAATATACGCGCAGTAAATTATTGGTTTTTTTTTATCACGATAAATTTATATCTACAGGGAAAAGATAATCAGATAGGAATGCTCGATAAGATATGTTCTCTTGATCAGTGCGATCTTTAAAAGCATTCGAATCTTTTCTCAGCTTCTTGAAGACGTCATTGCACATTGTTTGAAAACTGATTGAGTAGTTGGGCGAGGTCTCGTCCTGATAATCAGTTCCATATGCATTCATTGCAACACACATTCTTTATGGTCACCAATGAGAGACTAATGGTGTCTCTGATGGCCAGGAAATACAAGTCCAAAATATGATGGGGGATTATGGAAAACATTTGGCAAATTCAGAAAACATTTCCGGAATATTTTCTTTTAAATCGTAATTGGAAATACTGAATGTTTTATGAATTTGTTCTGGTCGGCCTCGTTTGAAAGTAATAAATCATGTAAAAAATATAGAAAAGTTAATTAAAATATCAGCTGAATCTTGCAACCAGATGTCATTGTAATTGCCAAATTGAAGATGCATACACTGCAACCCACACAGTGTCCTCAAGTTTGTTTCGCTATGTAATGAGTAGGTAAGGTAATTCAAAGAAATAGTGGCGGTAGTCTGAAATGGAAATTTTTAGGTTACATTTTCTGTAGATAATAATTGATACCTTCGTAACATCAGAACAATGTTCAACAATAAATATTATTAAGGATATCTGCTTCAAACTTGCTATGAAGGACCGGAAGAACTTCATACGCGGAAGTAGTGGCTCTCACTTCATTATTTAGAATTTCATAAATCGAACTTTACAATCTAATTTCGCAATCATGTTGAGTTCATTGTATTTTTAATTTTAAATTCAGAAAAAATTGTTAAATTATAGCTGAAACTATTTGATGAAATTAAATATGTTTGAAACAAGTGGTAAAAATCTGAAAGTAAAACTGCGTGCTTTCTTGTGGGAAAAAAAAACAAAAAAAAAAAAACGATGTTCTTTTGAACCGCAGTGTGTAATGAAATATCCATGGAAGCTAAGTACTCGCAATAGCATTTCGCACTGGCTTTTCAGTCGGCATTACCCCCGCGTTATCGCAAGGACGCAGCCCACCAGCGAAGAAAGTGATTGGCTTTCTCAGTTTGTAAATGTGTTGTGCTTACGGCTGTCAAATGGAGATAAGTAGGAACGAAAAAGTTTAAGATTGTGGAGCGAATTAACGTTGTTAATTTGTGTTACCTTTTATTCCATGGATGATAACCTGCAGATTTATGTATGTGGTTTTTGGCGCCAACTGCTTGCCTGGAATATGCCGCATTTTTGTCGCCTCTGGAAAGAAAGGACCTGTGAAGCAGTAGTGTGGCCTGGCCTCAAGAATCTCTTTGAATCTGGATTTTGCAGAACCTTGCCAATCCTTTTTTCCCCGTGCACTTGAACCTTATTCCTCACTTTTCTGTTTGACTTGTCAGAAAAGCTGCTGCTTCCCTGTACTGCGTCTGCCACATGTTCAATGCCTCGAGTAAACAATAAGTAGTTGCGGACAAACAGTGTTACTTCATCTTTGCTCATATTCCCTCCGCACTATCGTAAATTCATTCGCATTGCTATACATTAGTGAGATCACTCAGTATATAAATACTCTCTGTAATTGTGTTGTATTAACACAGCATTCCCTAGCCTGAAAGCTGCAAGTAGTAGTCATTAAGTAGCCGAGTAATGTGCTTTCCAAGTATTAAACAAGTTTTATAGCTCAATACCTCTCCACGTTTTATTTCTTAGCTTTATTTCTAGCCTTTATTTCTAACTCCGTACTGTACTACCGGAAAAGTGAACGATTGCAGCAAAAAGAATGAATTTTGGATTATTAACCAACACTGATACAAAATAAATTGTGCTTCGTTTATTATTATTAAGACAAAATAATTGACACGTGATTGAAAGAGAATCTGAAAAATTTTAGTGTTTTCCCTTAATTACATGGATTGTTTTCTTTTTTGTACACTTTTCATTACTTAGTTTTGCAACATATTTTTAAGACTTAAGAATTACTATTGACATATTCAGCAATTATTAGGTTTCCGCAGCCAAACTACACTTGATTATATTGAAAATATTATCGAATTTGATCGGTGGTGTGATCGAAATGGTTCCGGTAGTTTGATTTTCATTAATATTAAAAAAAATAGAGATTATATTGTAAGATTTTTAAAGTCAGATGTTTGACCTCTAATAAGCCAACATAACACAACGTTGTTTGAGGGTGATTGCTCAACAATTCGCCTACGATTTCATATTCTGCTACCGTGCATCCCAATTTCAATTCCTTTGTGAAAAATAGAAGTCAGCAGTTCCCTATTTTTATATTAAGAAAATGTATGCGTGCCTTCCTCTCTTATTCTGGAATAGTCAGATTGAAGCAGATGATTAAAAACATTCTCAAATAGTAAAATTGGGGAAATTACAATCTTAATGAGCAATTAGACGGGTACTGAATAGCATCGCAGTGTTGATTCTTGCTTGAGGAGTAGGTAACCCTCTGTAAATTTTCACTTTTCGTCGAGTGTCCAGCATTGGTGAAGACAAAGAACTCCTTTTTCTTTTCAATGGCCTATTTAGAAATTCTTTGTAATGATTCATCATGCCTGAATCATAAAATTAATCTTCTGTGATTCATAAGTCCTATTTTCCTTCATTCATCACAAAGACCCATTTATAATTAGCTCATTAAAGAAATCCATTCTCACGCCAGTGTAACTAGTGGCGCTAAAACAGCCCTTACTTTCTCGCCTTTAGGAATAGTTATGAAATATATTTATACCACAATTTCCGAATTAACACATCTGTCATCATATTTTGTAAAACTCATTTCAACGCATACAAAATTTGGAGAAAAAAATAAATATTATCAAAAAAAACTGCAAATTTGACAACTACAAATTGTTTTCGTACAGCTACATCATGACCCAACAACGAGACGTATTTCACGGAAATTCTGCTTGAGTTTCGCGTCGTGGAATGCCATTGTTGCATTCCAATCTAATATTCCCTGAAGGCTAGTGCTTTTTATTTCATATATTTCAAATAGGATTGTAATAATTTGTAAAGGATTAGCATAAAATGATATACAAATTCTAACTTTCAAACCATCCAACTGCCTGGAATAACGCTCACAAAACCGCAGCAAATTCGAAGCTGGCTATTATGTTTGTCGCCAAATTACACAAATACTCAAATTTACAAAATATCAACGTGGCCATATTTGAAGATCTGACTTTGATAAACACATCTCGTTATCACAAATCACATTTATCAAGTGTCATTCATCGTTTTGTTCAACTCTCCTTTTGCTTGTAGTGGTGGTAGTGGTCAAAGTAGAGCTGGTGGTTTTGCTACTTTTTTAAGCAATGCAAAAAATCAAATCTGAAGTTCGTTTAGCTATGCAAATAAGTTTTCTGTAACTCGGGAACAAAAATGTCCATTTATTACAATGTTGCTAATCTCGCGCTTTTTAAAATTTTATTATTATTATTATTGTTATTTTAAAATTTTATTTATCTTTCAGCTATTTACAGTTAAAACGTTGGGAAGGGATTCTAGAACTCCAGACACCATTATCTAATACGCTAAGGTTTAAATTTGTTAAAAAAATTGTCGTTTATTAAGAAAAAATGGTTAAAAATAATTTTAAATGTTCGACGCGAAATTTTGCAAAAAATAAGCATGTTTTGCAAAAATTTGCATTTTTGCAAAAATGCAAAAATTGAGCATGACCTTTTTAGATATATTTCATTAAGAAGAAATTGTTTATCAGAATTGAAGTTGCGGGAAGACGCCGAAATTCTTTTGATTTTTTTCAATTTTCGAAAAATTGGAATTTTTAACGAAAATGTCAATTCTCATAAACGTCCTTTACACTACCTAACAAGAAAATTTGATCGAAAACGATGGACTAATTTTTTTGAAAACGTCCCAGGGGCTTCATGTAAAGTACCCCCAAAATTAAGATACCGGTTTCAAATTCAAAGGGGCCCCAACATCAGCCAGATTGATTGGGGAATATCAATATTGTAGAAAATAGGCTGAGCTACTTACATTTTTCACAGAGGGACAGACGTTTTTCTGTCAGTCTATTTTTCGGCATCAAAGACCCACAAAAAATGGGTTCTGGCTGCACCACGTATTTGATCTAACATTTCAATTTATCCACTTTTTCGTTGCCAGGGTCCTGTAATAAGAGTTTTTCTGTCGAAAATCCGGCAGCAGTACATAACTTTCTCTCTACAAGAGTAGCGGTAGCGAGAAAGTAAAAAGTAAGTTAACTAACTGGGAAAGGGAGTGGAAAACTGAGCAACCTCCGGCCATGTGAGAATTATCTTTGATTTTGTTAGATATTGAGGAATTCGAGAAAAGTATGAAAGCAGTGATTCGGTTTTGATTTTGACTGAAAAATGCAGACATATGGTTGCGTTTTTCCTCCTACTCCCATCCTACGTATAGCAACTGAATTCTCAAACTCAGTGCGTCACTGCTTATCACACAAGTGACATCATGCCAGCTCAGGGTTCTAAGGTAGAGGTCCCCTGCCATTTCTTATTCGATCGAAGTAGAAAAATAAATGAACTTTTTTTTTTTAATTTATTGCAAAGGTGGATGTTTCTTATTGCTGGTAACTCAAGCTGCATAGTTTCCACAGACCCAAGACGGAGAGAATACCTTAGAACCCACTCACTTTTTGTACTGACAGTACGTCGCCGAAACTCCAAAATATGAGTAATTCGCTGTTTGGGCGGTATGGTGATTGTCTTATTGTGAGGCGTCTTGTATTTTGCGAGAAGTATTTTCGACATAGAAGTTCGCTGGAAAGTAGGCGTTGCACTGACGGAAATTGTTTTATATAACGAAGCCCGGAACCTCGTCGTCCCAACACGGAAACGCGTAACGAAGCGGCAATTGAAGAATCAGTTTGCGCCGTCTCTGTAAATACATATTTACAATTCTTGACACTTTCGTTCCCCCTTGCCCTCCGAGAAGCGCTAGCCGTAAGGTGTCGCTCTCGGCGTGGAGCTGATTCGCGTCGGAAGCCGCTTGGCTGAGATGCTGCGGGGCCAGTTTCCGACGCCCACGCCAGCTCGAAGGCATCTCGGGAGACGCGCGCAGTCGTCGTAGGTGCGTCGCGAGGCTGCTGCACACAGAGGCGTTCTCTCAGCTCCAAAGCAATGCGAAGATTCTCGTACGCGGGCTATGGGTTAACGAACACCCCCAAACAATTGAATCGCACTGGAGAAACCCCAGAACGAGCGATTTAGTTTGTAGGATTTACAGGATTGTATTTTATATCCATATATGAAAGGTTTCCGGTACGAAACGTTGACATTTGTTTACACTCGTGGACAGAAGTGCTGCTGAGAGTGGGCAGATGGTTTAATATTCGGATAGAAACCAAATAAAAATACATACGAATATGAAATGTTGTTAGCACATTAACGCACTTCAAAATGGTATACTTTATATTTGACGCTTCAGAGGGAATTATTCTTATTCTGATACAAATGTGTTGTAAATTATGTCCATTAAACAGAAAGTTTGCGACACGCGAATTTTATGTTTTTCATTTAAGTTCTTTATCACGAAAATAGGATTAGAAGCTGCTTATTATTTCCGTAGAGAGATGAATAGTTTGAGGAGTTGCCGACTGGTGAATAGTTTGATGAACGCCGTACTCCCACTATCTTCCCACAAATTGGGATGTTACGTGTCTCACAAAAACCTCTCTCGATTCTCATTGTAAATTATTCTCTGAAGGTAGTGGAGTGGCGAGCAATTATTAAGGAGAACGTTTTGAGCAACACATTTTTATTTTCGATACGAAGATGTAGTGCATGTTTGCTGACTATGGTTGGATAACCCATATATGGATAACCCAAGCGTTATCCATATATGAGGAAAAAATGTCGCAATCCTCTTTACAAATTAATCACGTTATTGATAAACAAATCGAATTGCAATGAAGAGACATCTCGGGCATTTGGTGCTGAATCGGTAGACAATTTGCTCTTTGTAGATACGCTATTCATTTGGCGAACGTTCCACAAAATTGATCTCTGAGAATTATTTTCTATTGTTGTCGATTTTAGTTCAATGTTTTCACTACATTCAATTGAATTGTCTCGAATTGAATTTTAATGCAAATTTCTGCGCTGGATATTCCACCACCACCACCAACACCAAAGATGTCTACAACAGAGTTATTTTGTAAACTACATCTAGGATAATTTCGTTTCTGATTTAAAACGGACAAAATTCCATTTTCACTATTAAAGATAATTTGAGGGTACTATGACACGCCTTTATAGTTATTTTTGTATTTTGGGCTCTTTGTTTCCAAATCTATCTGGTGATAGCTCTTGAGCATTGTCATGTCGATATCAAGTTCGAATCTTAGGTCTGCTTCGTTCTAGAAACCTCGGTTTCATGTTGTTGTTTTTTTTACAGGGGATTAGCGCAGTTTCTACCTATTTTCCCAGAAAGTGTCTGTCAGTTGTTTGTAAGGAAAAGTCTTGACGTGCGTTACATTTCCTTTCTCAACTTTCGCCTCTAGTGATGTAACGAATGGCCCTCAACCCATTCACAGATTCTTTGTGCACAAGTGATTCGTTGAGTTCATTTTGTGATTGTTCCTTTATTTGCTACTCCACAAAGGGTTATCGTCACATCACTACACAACACTTCGTTGCTGATAAATGGTTTTACGTACTCTGATAAGCTTAACTGGACGCGGAAACAATTTCCTGTACGCAGTATGCATCCGCTCGAGGTAGATAGGCGCCGTTATCTCTCCGTAATAATTTGAGCTGGAAATTACTTCATTCGCTGGTTTTGTCCGTTTTTTGTTGTTGACTGATCTACACACAGAGATAGCATTGTGATTTTTATTGGAATGATAAAATTCGGTGCTGATCGACTCTAGAAAAATAAACACTTCTCTGAAGTTCAATGTGAACCGAATTCCCGTGCAATGAAAACAAATTTCATTTCAATTAGTGTTATCCGTAATTTACGCGTAACTGCTGAATAAATTTTAGTTTTCTGAATACGGGGTAAATAGTCTGGATCTGCTTACTGCAGCTGATTTCACAATCCTGATTTCGGCGATGTAAATGTTCTTGAGGTTCGTGTGGGTTCTCATTTGTTCCCTTCACTTTGATTTACAATTTGTCATACTTTGCCAAGAATAATGAATAGGCTGTTGGTTTCCTTTCAAATGCCGCGCATTAAATAGAGCGTGTGGGTGGTTGGCGCCGCGTGCGGGGAAGAGCTGTTCCCGTGCCCCTGTCTGTTCCCTGCGACGGAGAGAGTCCCCCCCGGCCATTAACATGCGCTGCGAACGCGGCTGGCTCGCGGGGGTAACGGTTCGAGGGCGGCGGTTTGCAGCCGCCTGGCTATGGGGACGCGGCACGTCGCGTAAGCGGTTCTGCAGCTGAAGAAATTGGTCGTGCGTTTGCGTTTTCGGCGAATGGAGGAAGGAAAAGGAAATGTGAGCATAAAGAATATTTACTTCGGGGTGATAAGGGCCGAATAGTGGAACTTACGACTTCTGCGATAAGGAGCGTAATGGATAGCAATTACAAGCTCATTCTTTTTTTGTTCTTCATGATTTTAGAAAAGCTAAAAACAAGAATCTCTCCAGATGGATATTTTCTTCAAAAACGTATGTTAATTCAGGGAGACGTTGATGTACAGTTATTTTACGCCTCTGGAAATATAGAAGTAAATACTGGAGACGTTTTTAAAATGTTGAATAATCTGAAAGCATTTAGCTTATTTCATTTTAGGGACACTTTTATTATCTTTCAGGATCTCGAGAACGGACATTTCAGTTTTTACTCCCTCGCATACTACTTGCATAGTATAAAGTATTGCAATGCCGCAGTAAATCAGCGATTTTATCACAGGAAAATTCGTTTTATAAGTCCCTGATACCGAAAAAGCTGATAAATCTTTTTCTTCTTGTAATTCACTACGTATAAATAGTTGTGGAGTCAAAATCCACGTTTTGTGGATCCTTTATACCTGATGTTTCGCACCAAATGTTCTACGATTTAAAATGTGTTTTACAAAAAATGACCTAAATCAATTAATTTGAAAAGAAATTGTTGTATAAATAAGAATTACATAGCCATTACTAAAGGCGAGAAAGTACTTTCTGTTTTAGCACCACTTGTTTCGTTCATTGTTTTCCTCTCATATAATGTATTATAGAAATAGCACTGGTCCCATTTTTGATGAACTTTGATTTTACGAAAATACAAACTTTTTTGTGGCATCTTCCTACAAATAGAATATTGAAGATAAAGATTTTTCCTGAATGAAATTTGTACATTAAAGAAAGATCTTACAATAAGATAATATTCATTTTTTTGAAAATATAAGTAGTTTTGCGTGATACTGCGTTTCTCAAGAACGTCTGCAAATTTTTTCTTCGATTTTTGTCGAATAGTGCATAGTACACTTTTAAAATTAGCGCAGGGTCCATTACGGAGATTTCTTTTCGGCTTCATGTTCGAAAGTTGCAAAAACTTAACTTTGTAAAGCTACAATATTAATTAGAGAGACTTTAAATTAATGAAACTGGTCGTTTTGCGAAATTTGATCATTAAATAAGGCCATGTTAATTTATTTGCAAATATGATTAGTTTCGCGTATTTTGTGTTCTGCGGAATTTCGAATTCGAATTTCCCGAGCTTCTTTTGCTTAAGAGACTCGCGTGGTAGTTGAAGAGCTAGTTGGATTCAATTTGCAATATTATAATTACAATATTACGTACCCGGAACAGATGTAAAATAATTGTCGTTGGCCCGTTTTAAAAGCCTTTTCTGTAAAATAGGCCTATTGGAGAGCTGTTGTTTTTACGTGTGGTCGCGACTTTATTGGTATGTCTCAATACGAAAATGGCAACCTGTTAATATGTGAATCGCTAATTACAGAAAGGCAATTAGTCCAATTTTATTTTTATTATTGGTGGGGAGGCTTGTGAGTCGGTCATTGCATTGTGTACTGCAGAAAGGACACTTAGCCAGTCGATAGCATAGGTCTGTGCCTTCATATGCAAAAAGTGTAGACATCGTGTAGAGAAAATTGTCATAAAACATGTGTTAACGGATTTTTGTTTCTTCTGTAAAATTAGGAAATGCGTTCTAATTGCTCTTCTGCAGATAGCGATTCATGTACAGAAATATCGTCGTAATAATATTTCACAGCCTTTACTAATGCCAGAAAGCGCGTGCTGTTGTAGCGCCACTAATTTCAAGTTTTCTTGAAGAATGGTTTGAGGTGCCATTGTGTTCCGATCTGTTTCTTAGGAATGTTATGTTTTTGATTTCTTCGTGTGCTTGTGAGATAAGAAGTTAGAATATTTCCTTTCCCTTATGAAACATATAAGATATCATACGGGATGTGAAGGGTAAGCGGCTTTCAGCTGGAGAAGCCCCAAGAAGAAAAAGATAACATGGAGGAGCGCAGGAGAGTTTCGAGGGACGGGCTGCTTAAAGTTGAGGAGGAGAAGAATTGGAATTCCAATTTGTTAGAAAATATCTATTTAATAAAAAGAGAATCAACTCAATTGCACCAATCGTTTATGAAGATCGAAGACATGAGTAAAAAGAGGCCTCAGATTATATCTGAAAATAGTTGTTTAGATGATTAGCTCAGAAGCGGATCTCGGCGTCCGAATAAAAGGTTGGACAAGCGCCTGTGGGAGTGGAGTGCTGCCTCTTGAGTGAGCTTCGTATCCTTTCGAACGTTGCGTACATTCATGGAAAATTACAAGCTTGTAATCGTGGGGGCATTCTCAAAACGCGAAGTGCCTGCTATCTTGATTAGTTTTGATCACTTTACAGCTCCCAGTGGTTTGATGATTTCTTTGCGTTACGCGTTCGGCGAAGTCTATTTGCCCGTATGATTATCGCAACCATTAAACGATGAAGGCAAGTATCAGTTAGAATGCATGGGCGCAGAGAAATGTCGAAAACGAAATTTCTTGGTTGTGCCGGAAAGTGATGTTCGTGTACAAATATAGGTAGTAAATCCTTTGATGCATACGATAGAGGAAGTGTATATGCGAATACGGACGACGATCTTTCGGGGGGAGGAAGTGCGCGGTATTGCGAAGTCGATCTGCGGGAGGGGTGGATAGCATGTGGATCCACGCCTCTGCTGGCAGGCGGTCCCCGGGGACGGAACGGCGATCGGCTTCCAACGGTGAAGTGCAGTGGGAGGAGGGGGGGGGGATGTCCTGGCGTGCGCCTGCTTCGAGTGCCGTGCCGTGCCGTGCCGTGCCGTGCCGTGCCGCGCCGCGCCGCACCGACGAGTGGCCCCGCCCGCCCGGAAGCGCGCCCGAGCGCCGCCGCCCGCGACCTTCCGGCGGCGCGCGGGCGTCGGAGGCACCGGCGACCTGTTCGCTTTCGTCTTTTTGCCCAAGAGCACCCACACTAAACGTTCCATGTTTTTGGTTGCGCCTGCTTCCTGTGCTTCTTTGTGGTAGTGTTTGTATTTTATACGGTTTGTTTGGACTTCTGTCGATTGGGTGATGAATCACTGATTTTATATAATCCTAACAAATTAACGCGAGCATTGCATCTAGTGTTGGATGCTCTAACGCGTAAGTAGTGTATTTGAGAAGTGGTAATGGAACGTTCTGATGTCGAATGATTGAGAGTGGAGTTTGCCCGCTGAGACTGACTGACGGTCTTTCGCATTGTGCGTCGCCGCGGCCTGTTGAATCTTTCTTAAAATGTTGACCCCCCCCCCGCCGGCCCGCGGCTACGTTCGTTTGTGTGTGGGCGCCCCAAACAATGGCGAAAGCTACAGTAGCAGAGCGTCTTCCCTGGGACATCCATGGGAGGCACGCGCGTCTTCGTCCTCCTCCGCGCCCGCTCCTGACCCTCTCCAACCCTTCCAACTAGCGCTTGGTCCCGGGCAGCAGGTCGGCTGCTGCTACTCGATCTCACTTGGCAATCCCAAATGAAAACATACGTAGGAAGAAAAAGGACATAAGAGGCCATTGACAAATATACTATTACCTGGCCAGCGCATAGGTCACCCACGCTGCAGCGATGGATCATTCGACGGCCAGTCCGCGTGGAATTTGTGGTGGACAGTGCGAGCTCTCGGTGATTCCTGTTTCCCCTGCCTTGAGTCGTACCGCTGCGCCTTTATTATTAATGCCATCGTTATCTTCGTCTCGTCGTCTTCTTAAATCATTTCTCGTGAGCCTCAATAACCTCAGCCATCGAAAGCCCTCTAAACTTAATAACTAAATAAATTAAAAGTTTGTGTATTTTGTTGGTATCTGTATCAGCACCGCACCACTCCTCTCCACTTCAAGGGGTGCAGCGAATAATAGTTGACTTATCATAGCAAGAAATTGTGTGTAATCTTTGAAGTCCTGGCATACCGTAAATTTTTGAAAGCCAACCGAAACCTAGAGATATTTCCTTAATGGAATGTGTTTTTCAAAGATAGAACTTTAATAATTAAGATCTCATATAGTGTCTCGAAAATGTGCGTAATATTAAATTAATTTTGCGTGAAATATAGCCAATTTCAAAACAAACTTTTTTCTGGAATAGAGAGAATATACATAGCGCTTGTAAAAATGGCTCATGCCCCATGTTCGGTGGTTTCTATTTTACAAAATGTCTTTTCGCCCTCCCCACCGCGTGCCTGTCTTCCCGACACGTCGTATGGAGCGAGCATTCACCGAACACCTCTCAGCTGTTCGAAGGGGCGTCTCTCTGCGCTCGCCTCGGGAGCCTGCTCCTGCTGTCCCCGGCACCTCGCCCCGCGCTCTCTCGCTCCCAACCCAGAAAGGGGAAGGGACAAGATTCCAATCATCTTCATCTTCATTTTATTGCAACTGCTTATTATTTATTTATCTTAAATCTGGGTTGGGGCAGGAAAATGTTAGAATTGCGCTTTTTTTGCGTTTTCATTTTGTGTTTTATTGAATAATTTTTAATTTCTATTAGTTCATCATTTGTTGAATTTAACAATAATGTGAAATCCATTAACAAACGTCTCTTACGGGTGTACATCTTTCAGCAGGCAATAGTCTTTGTAAATCTAACCTGATGATGTGAATTTGGAAATATTGTTTTTGGGGGAAATGGTATGAATGGTTTAGACCAAGGTTCTCCAGCTGCGCTCGGAATAGCTACAAGTAGGAAGTTGACGCAATGATTGCACTTTAAGTAAACAGATTACGAAATCAAGATCCTTTCAATTCAAGTTTAATTTTACTCCCAATTGACATTTTGAAATGTGCCTGATATTTCATTCAAATGATCATTTCTTTCGTTTAGTAGAGGAATAAGAATTATTATCACTTTGGAGGCAACAATTAACTGACTTCCCGAAAGATAGTTATGGACCAGATATGTGGCGTATCGACACCACGAAGCAATTTATACAATCCTTACTTTTAAATCTTTCGGTGATTGCTCTGGACGCAGCGCCCATGACCTTGACATTCCTTTCTTAGAAAAGGAGTTCGAATTCGTGCGTGAAAAATAGTTGTTGGAAACACTTTAGCTGGTTCAGGGCAGTACCTGTTGTAATAAATGCGTTGTTGCAAGAAAGTATGTACTCCTTGTAGTACAATTAGTTTACTATTTGTCTTGAGTCTGATTTTCAGGCCGTAGATGGTTTTTTCTTTTTTCTTTTTTTTTCATTTTTTAATTTTTTAATTTTTGGATATCCGTTTGTTGTACAGTTATTCTCGTTCCAAAATTTCCAATCTCTGGAGGAAACACAGGTCGAGATAAATTGTAATTGTGTAGAAAAGAGTTGGTGAAATGGTAATCGAAACGTACATACGAGTCCATTCAATAATGTCCAGAATTCCACTTTTTAAAGGGAAATCAAATAGAAAAGTCATTTATACAAGAATAATAGCGTTGTAGGCTATAACTTTCACATTTTTCCTGAAACAGAAAGTTCACGCAAAATGTTGCAAATGAGTAACTGAGCAAAGAAGGATTAATTGCAAGAAACTTGGTTTGTCAAAAGAAGTAGAAACGTCACATATTTCAACTGGTTCGATGGGCTAACATTACTAATTCTACGTACTTTCACCAAATGAGACCAACGAGTTCTCATTGCAAATACATTTCCAATCAACGTCGATGTTCTGGAAATTAATTTCTGATGACCCAAGTCATTCGTTGTAAACATGTCATGTACTTTCATCTCGCTAAAAAGTCTGTTACATCGCATCGCATCGCATTACAAAATAAGTTCAAGTTAATTTTTGCGTTATGGTTGATTGAAACCAAATACTTAACACCCTCTTTCAAAAACACTTAATGTATACAATTTGAGCATAATTTGTAAGCTATTGTTTTGCCAAATTTTGGAGAGCCGTGGGTGTGGACAAATCGCTTAACTACGCTCCGAAAAGTAACGGAAGTTAAGCAATTCAAGATCGCGGGTTTCTGGATGGGTGACCGTCTGGGAAGCACTGCGCCAAGCCCTTGGTAGAAGAGATGAAAGACAATGACTCACTACGACTGGCGATGATTGACTAGATGACAGAAGGTGTATTGCACTACGCATTAGACGCCAGTCGTTGGCTAAAATAGAACGTTACGTATTGACATGCAAGAACTTTTAAATAACCCCGTCTTTCTCATACTAGACATCTAGAGATTTTTATTATCTCTTTAGTCTAGGCAAGTTTTTTTGGTTTTACCCCTGAAAAACGTCTCAAATATTCATCGCTGCTTTGTATGGCAACGGTACGTACAGTATTTAATATATTGGTACATATACAGTATATAATATAATAAATTGGCTTGAAGTCGTTTAAAATCCAGACGTGGCACTTAGCATAGAATTTACTGTTACTTGATATTACCTTCTCAACATTATATGAAACATTCTTATATGTGTTTAAAAGAAAGTGTCGTTATGAAGGGCTATGGGTTTGTCGAAACGTTCATGTGACTTTCATGACCCAGTTCCTACTTCCCCATATTTTCTTTAGTTTATGTCATTTAAAAAAATGTTTATTCATCTTTCAAATAATTATAGTTTAAATGTTGGGAAAAGATTCTGAAGCTCAAGAGGACGTATGCAGAGGGTACTTCTCCCTATTGGTCACGTACAGTTTTACTGTTCTTGGACTAATTAAATCAAATGAGGATGAGGACTTCCGATGTCTTAGGTTACGCAGGATCATGACAAATTTGAAAATGGTCAAATTACGATCTTCGAAGCCATGTTAAGCTGTTATTGAGAACATTACCATATGTACATATATGAACCACAAAACCCTAAAGATATGTGCTTTCGTCATAAGATGCTTGCCAACAACCATAATAAAAATAACAAAACAAATGTCAGTACCAATTCTTGTGTTTTGCTTCCTGTGTGTTTGTATGTGTAAATGGACATTCGAGTAGTTATAATTCTTTAGAAATGGTATTGAAAATATTTTAATTGTAATATTTGTGTTTTCAGAAGGTGGACCCTGAGTTGATCTTCACGAAACAGGAACGTATTGGCAAAGGCTCCTTTGGAGAAGTGTTCAAGGGCATAGACAACCGCACCCAGCAAGTGGTGGCTATCAAGATCATCGACTTGGAGGAAGCCGAAGATGAAATTGAGGATATCCAGCAAGAAATCATGGTGTTGTCGCAATGCGACTCACCTTTCGTCACCAAATATTTTGGTTCCTATCTCAAAGTGAGTAGTATTTTATATCTCGCACATTATTCTAAAAATGAGTAAATGTTGCCAGTTATGAAGTAATTGAAAGTTACGTATACAGCATTGTAGAAGAAAATATGTAGAGAGGTTGCCATCAGTAGTTCGGATGTAGTGTTAAAACACGTAATACCGGAATGACCGACCAAGAATTAGAATGTTAACAATTCTAGTTTCTTGACCTGTGAAATGGTTAGGAATGAAGTCACTTTTTCTTGATTTAAACGCGGAAATGAAATGCCATTTTTCACAACATGTATTCTTTAAGCAATATAAAATATTTTTACAACATTGATCTGTTGAAAAAGAAAATTTCATTCCGTTACAGCGTTAGGCAAGTTTCCAGCCAACCGAGTGTACTTTGCATTAGAATATGATTAGTTCTGAGATTTGTTCCGGAGAAAGATGTTTCTTCCTTATCCACATTCCTTCTTA